CATTGTCATCTATAGCAAGGGAATGAAAGCTGTCATTTAAGACATTGCTTATTCCAATGATAACGCTGGTGTGTACTCTAGGATAGCATTGAAGTTTAAGCTCTGAATTTTCCGTCCTTCTCTACTGGTTAACCCTGAGCAAGATGGCACACAATCTGCTTTAAGCCCTCTCAAAGTGCAGAGGAGATTCTACAGGAGTATTGGAGTTTCTTCATCCTTTTGCCGGAACCGGCCCAGAATCAGCTGAGGAAGTATCTATTAGGGCAGGAAGGCCACATACTCTTGTTCTGCCTGATCACAAGAAGGCAAACCTGGAGGGAGACTACTAGTGGGCCCCCCTCTTACGTAAGGGGGACACTCACCAGAGTACACTAAGACAACTGGGTAAGAAAGGAATTTAAAACTGCTGCCTTGAAGGCCTCTCCTGGCTTGCTCGCTGCTCCCCTCAGCAGTGTACTTTAGTCAATCCGCCTGTTCTGTTCCCCACTCTCCAGTGAATCCTCTCACCCCCCCACACTTCTGGTCTGTACCCCAGTTCCTGTATGCATAAATTTATCTTAAAAAAAAAATTAGAAACAAAACAAAACAAAAAACCGCTGCCTTGATAGTTTTGAGGGGATGTTTAGTTTGGAGAACTTGATCTACATTTCTAACAAGTTGCAGTTGATCCATTAGGCTACTACGGGCCCAGGCGCGGGTCTTCAGAGGTTTGCGCTGGGTCTATTTACAGAGGGTGCAGGGGACATGAACAAATGACACTGAGAATGCAAGCAGCAAAAATTAAGACCGGGCAACTTCATGGCAATGATCTTCAACAAATATAGTGCAAGGGGATAAAAGGAGAGAAAAGGGGACCCTACAGACCAAGGAGGCTTAAGATACCTTTCAGAGGTGTATACTGAATTGAGGACTTCCTTAAATCTGGGGGGGGGGGGTCCTTCCCCAGGTGGCACAGAGGTTAAAGTCTCAGCACTATCAACCTATTACCAGCCACAGCGCCCTGAGTTTGATTCCCGGCCAGGTAGTGCAGACTTCTCCTGTCTCGCCCACTGCTCCCCTCAGCAGTGTATTTCAGATCCACCTGTTCTGCTCCCCACTCTGTCTCTGGTGAATCCTCTCACTGCCCTCCCCCCGCCCCCCCGACCTCTAGCTTGCACCCCATCTCTTGTATGCATGTTTAAAAAAAAAAAGTTTGGGCCTCCCCGGTGGCGCAGCAGTTGAGCGCTGGGTTGCGAAGCTGCCTGCAGCCTCTGCGGCGCTGGTTCGATCCCTGGCTGCTCCCCGGCCACCAGAGGAGGGTCCCACATGGCGCGCAGACCTCTCCTGCCGCCCGCTGCTCCCCTCAGCAGTGTACTTCGGTCCATCTGCCTGTTCTGCTCCCCGCTCTGGCTCTGGTGAATTCTCTCACCCTCCTGCGCTTCTGACTGTACCCAGTGCTTGTATAAACAAAACAAATAAATAAATAAAAAAAATGCCTCCATTAAAAAAAAAATTCTTAAAAAAAAAAAAGTTTGTAAACTGATAGTTACTAGATGCTGAACTGTGAAAGGGCTCTAAAATAGTTACACTGTATGAGAAAAATTACTTCAGTGTTCATTATAAACACTAAAGTAATTTTTTTTATGCAAGTCATTATATAAGTCAAAGAATTACTTAATAAAAAGTTGGTACTGGAAGAAAAAGCAGCTGTCATGTGTCCCTTCAATAGCGTACTAACCAGCCACTTAAAATAGATCTCTTTTAGCATTTATAAGTAAAAACAAATTGCAAATGCATGAATAGCTTACTGAAGAGAACAGGCATCATGACCAAAGTTCTGGGCAGATATATACCTAACGTTAAGAGTGGGAGACAAGGGCCTCCCCAGTGGCGCTGCGGGTTGAACGCTGCGCTGTGAAGCTGTCCGCAGCCTCTGCAGCGCGGGTTGGATTCCTGGCCGGCCAGGGAGAAACCCACATGGCGTGGCAGACCCCTACTGCCTCACCTGCTGCTCTCCTCAGCAGCGTCTTCTCTTCGGTCCATCTGCCTGTTCTGCTCCCTGCCCCGTCTCTGGTGGATCCTCTCACCGTCCTGCACCTCTGACCTGTACCCAGCTCTTGCATAATCTTTTTTTTTAAAAAAGTGGAGATTATACTCTGAATACATACTATTCTTGTCTTCAATTCAGAACTTTAGAAAATGAACCACTCCACTGCCACAGGACATCAGGAGTGAGAAAACCTGGATAATCAGAAAGCAATGCTTTCTGAAAATAAAAATGTAATGGTTCCAAATGTTTTATTTAACAAATTAGATTAAGGTCTTGATAAAGCGTGATTAAAGCTTCCTAATTCATGAGAAATTATGAAAAATGTTTAAATCTGGGTAACTTTAAAGTGACCATAAAGCAGGTCAATACAGAAGATTTGGCACATTTTAGTCCTTCCTAATTAATAGCAGTTAGTATTTATACCACCTAAGTATTACTAATCATATAACCTTTAAACTCAGTTCATAAGGGTTTATCCCTACAATTTCAAAGTAGATATTGAAGCATTAGAGCTAATGATTTGCCCAAGACAAACCTACTGTCATTTTTTTTTTAATAATAAATTTTATTTTTATATTCCCCATACAATTGCAGCCCCCCCATTCTGACCCCAATCCCTCCCCTCCCACCCCCGCCCCCCTAAAAGTGTCTCTGGTTCGTAGTTTTTTGTTGATTTTGATTTTCACTTTCTTATAGTTATTCGTTTTCCTGGTCCCTTATTTAAGTTTTCTAGTTTCCTGCTATGAGTGAGACCATCCGGTATTTTTCTTTTTCTTTTTGGCTTATTTCGCTGAGCATGATCCCTTCCAGTGCCATCCATGTTGCTGCAAATTGCATGTGTTTATCTTTTTTGAATGCTGAGTAATATTCCATGGTGTATATGTACCACATCTTCTTGATCCAGTCATCTATTTTTGGGCATTTGGGTTGTTTCCAAAGCTTAGCTATTGTAAACAGTGCTGCTATAAACATAGGGGTGCAGGTGTTCTTTGGAATTGATGTTTCTGTGTCCTTTGGGTAAATACCTAGGAGTGGAATTGCTGGATCCTATGGAAGCTCTATGTTTAGTAGGTCCAGAAATCTCCACACAGCTCTCCACAGTGGTTGGACCAGACAAACCTACTGTCATTCTTAACTCAGATTTCCGAGGAACTGAATACAAGATCCTTTTCTCACATTCTTGTCAGGAGCGGCTTGTCAATGGCAATTCTAATTCAAAAAACCATTTTGCCAGTAACTTGGCACTGAGTAGGAATGCACAATAAATAAAAAAACAAGCCTTTCCCGCAGTAAGGATTTTATTAAGGTGATAAAGCATGAAATGGGTTAACAAGGTGGAAGAAAGATCCCAAAATTAAAGGTAACACAGGAAAAGTCACAGGAGCAGGTAGGATTCAAAATGGCCTGAAAGGCACTGGGGGAACCAGGATGTTGCTAACGACATTTGCTGTCAGCTCAACATTCCACAAAGACACAGATGGAGGTGTGGCAAGCTACAGACTCGGGTTCTATTCCCACCGGAGCAAGGAACTAACACTTTTGCTTTCAAGTGGGCCAGCATTACAAATGCTTTAGCATATCCAATGAATGGTGCATGTCATAAAATGGGAACAGGTATTTAAGCCAGTCTTTGCCATTACTAGAAAACTTTTACCATATGGGCATTTACTTATACAATTGCCCACCAAGGAGCAGTTAATGACGTAGCCAAACCCAAGTCTTAGCAAGTCATATAACTTAAAACACAAGAGGCCAGGCAAAGCACCCTGCATACTTCTAGAAAGTCAAATTTCACAATGTAATACTTTCCAACGTCCTTTTAAAAGGTTAGTTTTAAAAGCTTTTGTTCTTTCTCTGAAAGGCAGCGCTGTGGCTGAAGTCAATTCTTTAACTTGCACTTAAACATCAAATTCTGAAAGCCATACAGGGCTGACTTCTGTGCTTTCAAATAGGCAAAATAATCAATTATATTGAAGAAAAAATATCCCCATGTCTTATAAACATCTAACTTAAAAAAATAAAGGCACCAAAATTGAAGAAAATTCATGGAAGCATCAAGCTTTTGGAGCACTATATTCCTAAGATTAGGTGCCAAGATTTTATAACCTTAAGTCTAGGAATTAATTTAACTCAATTTTTTCCACACAGCCTCATCTTATTTGGTGTATACTCAGCTATTTGAACCTACAAAACAAATCCATTGTCACGCCCAGTCTGTGGCACAATGAGCAGTGCACACCAAGACCCAGCACAATCTGACCCTTGTCTTACAGGGACAGCTTATGGATCGGTAACTTGTTCATGCCTATAAGCCTGCAGTATTACAGTTTCCACTGATCCTATACTTTATTCAGGATAAAGTACAAAAAATTTAGGGGTTACCCATTTAAATTTAACACACCAACCACACATTAAGTTTATAAGGAAGGTTGGACTAATCACCATCTAACCCCCCCTCTAGCTACACCAAAGGGGACTGTCTAGAACTTTCACCCAGTAACTCATTTACCAAGTGATGTAAATGTTAAGTATAAAGACCTTCCAGGAGCAAAAGGCAGTACATGCCAAGTTTCTGCTCAAAGAAAAACCACTTCCATCTTCTCATAACATTAAAACCTCGACACCACACTAAACACCTGACCGCTTTGGGAAAGCAAAAGCACCAGGCTGATTAAGACCCCCAAGGACAGAAGCTACTTCCGGAAGTGTTCAAATTTCAAACTGAAAGTTTGTTCATTTAAAATTAATTTAGGCAAATTTATATAACAGATTGACTACGAAGGCTTTTATTTTTCTTGTTAAAGAGGCAGATGACTTTGGCAAATTTAACAGCACAAAAATAATGTTACCAAATTGAATAATTTATTGCTGGTCTGAGGCTTGCTGTTTTACACTTAAGTAGAATTTACACTGTTTCCACAAACAATGTTTCAAGGAATTTAACAGTGACCTATGCAATAAGGCAATCATCTTGGTAGCAAACTTTTATTGAAATCTTACATAACTCAAGCTTTATAAAAAGCCAACATAATTGAAAATTTGGTTCTCCCTCTAAAGCCTTAAGTATTCAAAGCTTGAAACGGTTAATTTAAAGTAAGCAAACAAATAAAACAACAAAACCCCTGCAGCAGATCCTGCTGAAATACTTAAAAAAAATCTAAATGAGCTTAATCTTTACAAAAGTTATTTTAGCTCAAAAGCTATAAAATCAAAGTTATCTTAATTCTACAAAGAAGGGAGGTCTCTGACTTCATGCCACCATTTCTTTAGAACCTTATCTTTTCCACCCAATTTGGCCACAAATCAAATTTCGGTTTTAGGAGATTCCTCCTGTAGAAGAGGCCAAGTACAAATATGGAAGAGTAACTGCCTAAGTAGGAAAGTGTTCCATAATAGTGTGCAAAGAACTTGGAGTTCTGGGTTAATCTCTGGAACTCGATCTGGACCGTGACCTTGACTTTGACCGTGACCTTGAAGCTCTTTTTGGTGGAGGGGACACAGAACGAGCCTTAGAGGGTGGAGCAGGTGGGGGTGAGTTGGAACGAGACTGGCTCCTTGATCTAGACTTTGACTTTATATCACCTTTTCCATTTTCTTTGGGGGAACGAGATCGAGAACGAGATCTGCTTCGAGATTTCTCATACTCATCCTTAGATCTGCTTCGAGAGCGAGAACGGGAGCCCCGATCAGACTTAGGCTTAGACTTGCTCTTTGATCTAGATTTCCTGCCTTTTGATCGGGAACGTGATCGCCCTTTGCTCCGAGACCTGGATCTGGACAAGAAAAGCCAGAATTTTTTTTAATACCTTGCCAGAACAGACAAGTATTCCACAAACAAATAACAGTACCAATAAGAAAAAGACCCAATACCTGGAACGACTTTTTGAGATACTTCGAGACCTACTGCGGCTGCTCCTCCTACTCCTACTACGTGACCTCCTTCTAGACCGTGACCTGTGACAAGAAACAATAAAATATCTCAATACATCAACATGCATGTTTGAGCCATTTATCAAAAATAAATGGCTCAAACTACTGTCAAAACATCTGGTAAAGAATCCAATGATATACAAACAAGACGTCTAAGCAATGACCTATTTTTTTTTTTATTTGTACAAGCACTGGGTACAGTCAGAAGCGCGGGAGGGTGAGAGAATTCACCAGAGCCAGAGCAGGGAGCAGAGCAGGCAGAAGGACGAAGTACACTGCTGAGGGGAGCAGTGGGCGGCAGGAGAAGTCTGCGCGCCATGTGGGACCCTCCTCCGGTGGCCGGGGAGCAGCCGGGGATTGAACCGGCGCTGCAGAGGCTGCGGGCAGCTTGGCAACCCAGCGCTCAACCGCTGCACCACCGGGGAGGCCCGCAATGACCTATTTTTAACAAAGCATCAACACTACCAGAACTTTTCTTTGTTCTTGGAAAATATACTTTCTTCCCTCTCCACATCCATCAACATATTACCTTGACCTGCTTCCAGAGTAAGACCGCCTATGGCTTGTTCGTGGTTTATCTTCAATGAGTCTGATATTTCTTCCATTTATTTCTGTACCATCCAGTTTATCCAAAGCACGCTTCATATCAGAATAGGAGCGAAACTCAATCACACCTTCATTGGTGCGTTCTTTGTGAGCATCCGCATAAGTTACTTCACCTGCTTGTCTCATGAAATCCTAAGAGTGAAAAAACCAGTCAGATCCAGAAATCTAAAGGTCTACAATTGTACCTGATTATCAGAAATAGAAAACTTAGGACAAGACATGGTACCCTTTAAACATCAGTCACACATGTTAACCACAAGCTATACTGCGTACCTCCCCCCCCGAATATACGCTTTATTTATTTATTTAAATATTTTGTTTTATATCATTCTTACATCTTTTTTCATCTTTGCACAATGTATGCATTTACATTTTGGTTATATTCCCCAGACAACTGCACCTCCCCCCTTATTTTGACTCTAGTCCTTCCTTTCCCTCCCCCTCCCAGTGTGTCTCTGGTTTATAGTTGCTTGCTGACTTTTACTTTGTATTGATTAGTCTTTTTTATACTGCGTACCTTCAAATCTTGCCAACTGCAACGACTAGACAGATTTTCTACAATAAGCCTGAATTCTGTACGAACAGGTGGTCCATATTTGTCTCTGCCAGATGTTCTTCGACTGCTGTATCCACCTCCACCACCTTTATCATATGAAGAGAACAGTTAGATGCTTTGTAATGATAGAAATGCATGTTTTTGAAAGTTAGTACAAACATATCAACTTATTTACTGGAGTAGGACTTTGCTATTATACTGCTAAACCTTTGATACAGTTGTGATTTGCCATAAATTAAATTAAGGGCAAGTCAAACAGACTAAATTCCAACTAAACTTCTCCTACAACTGTTAGAGAGTGACTGCTCCTTTATTCAATTTACCTCGCTAAGTTTTATTTTACAGAACATTGTAAAATATAAAACTTAACTGATTACATGCATTTCTACATTTTACAAAAATGTTTACTAGTTACACTAAGTACTTACATCACAGTGTGAGGTTTTTGGTGGTGGTTTGGCCACAAAACACGCAAGGTAACAGTCACCTAGTTCAGATTAACCAGTTTTGTCTAACCCTTGGAATCCTCACCATCACCCTGCGTCTAATGGCAAAAGGCTGCTGTCGTCATGGCTTCCGGTAAGGTCAGCCAAAGGGTCATAGGGCAAGGGTCACACAATGTATGGAAAAGCCAAGGCCAATCAGGAAAGGCAGTCATCTTAGCCTCAGTGGACACAGCCTCAGCCCCATTGGTCACTTTCAAATTGAAACATCAAGGACTTGTTAAAAAGTTTGAATTCAACATGCAACAATTTCAACATCAAACATTTAACATAACCAAAATCCCCCCACCTCCTCCCAATAACATGCCCCAACTACTTCAAATACAGCATAAAGCTTATGGATATCTACGTCGTGGTATGACACCACGTTTAGTTCAAAACAGTATTTTCTCTGGCCCCTGCCAATCTTTTGAAACCCACACTTAAAACTCCTCCCCTTTCCCCGCCCCCACCCACCTCCACCCCAACCTGTCCGCCAACTTGCACGCTACACATTCACATTTCTAGCTAAAGGCACTGCCAGGAAAGCAAGGGGGAGAACAACCAGTAACAACCACCCCTCGCTTCCTCCGCGGGAAAAGCCCACGACAGTGCCGACAGGGGCCCAGCAGAAGCCACCCTCCTCCCAACTTGGCCATCAAGCCCCCAACCAACACCCCCAGACCCTGGCTAGGCCACACCCCAAGCCCAAACCCCGCGCTCCGGCGTCCCGTGGCTCCGCGGGCCGGCGTGGAGGCAGCGGGGTCCGGGGACACCCGCGTCAAACGACAGCCCACTGCCCCCGCGCCCGCCCCGGCTGGGAGGCCCCACCCCGCCCGCCCTAAGCCTGCGCCCGCCCCACCAGGTCCCAAGGACGCGGAGCGCGCGGGGGTCGGACTCACTGCGGCTTCCGTAGCTGTAGCCGTCGCGATCGCGGCGCGGGCCCCGGGCGTGCTCCACGATCACGCGCTCGCCGCAGAGCTCCTTGCCGTTCAGCTCGTAAACGGCGTCGTCGGCGTCGCGGGAGTCCTCGAACTCCACGAAGCCGTACCTGGGGGCGGCGCGAGGCCGGGCCGGGCGGGGCGTCGTTAGGCGGGGGCGCGCCCGGCCCCGCCCCCGCGCGCTCCCGCGGCCCCGCGCCGCCGCCATCTTGGAGGCCCTGCCACGCGGCGCCGCGGCCTGGTCCGTCCCCGCCGCTGACCGCCCCGCCGCCGCCGCCGGCCCCGGCCCCGGCCGCTGCGGGCGCCCGCTCCCGACTCACCCATTTTTGAGGTCTATTTCGAGAAGGCGGCCGTAGCCGCTGAAAAACCGCTGGATGTCCTTCTCCCGGACGTTGTAGCTGAGGCGTCCTATGTAGACGCGGGGCATGTCCGTGGCGGGCGGGGGGCCCGAGGGCTGGCTGGCGAACGGCTGGCCGCAAGGCAGGAGCCGCGGTGCGGGTGCGGGGACGGCGAGAGCCCGAACACGCGCCTCACACCACAGCGGCGGCCGAGTCCAGCCACACAATGGTGCGCGCGCGCCAGGGTGACGCTATAAGGGCGGGCGGCTGGGGGGCGGGGCGACGTGACGTCAGCGCGCAGCACGTACCCTGCCGCGCGGGAGCCCGGCGCGCGAGCGTGACCTGCGAGGGGGCCGCCCGCTAGGACGGTTTCGCTCGCGCGCGGGCTGTTCGCCACCCGTCGTTGCAAACGTCGCGGCTTGGCCTCCAGCTCCGGCCTTGTCTGCGCATTTGACCCTTTGAAAAAACTGTCCCTCGGCGCGCGCTCTGCGGGACCGGAGCTGGGGGTGGTGGCCCCTGGCTAGAATCCCCGTTTTTCATTGGCCCTCGGGGCTGTCATGCCTGGCCCCCGTGGGCTCTGATTGGCTCCTTAAGAGGGGACTGCGCGTTTCCCCGCCTCCCGGCGCCGCAGGTCGGCGGGGACCGGCCGGCGCGCCCATTTCGTAGCCCGGAGGTCAGGGCGACGCGGCCGGGCCCGCGAGGCGAGCGGCAGCCCCGTTGGCTGCGTCCTGCGTGTCCTCAGTCCCCACCGAGGGCCAGCGCCCCCCCTCTGGGCGAGGGGTCCCTCTCGGCGCGTTGGCGGGTGGCCCCCCGCGCGCCCCCTCCCAGGGGTCCTTCCCGAAGCGCTGGCAGCTGGGCCGCCTGACTTGGGGTGCGCGGGCGGCGCCAGGCTCCGTGCGGGTGTTCACGGGGGGCGCACGGCCCGGGGCTGGGGAAGGCACCCGCAGCCCCCCACCCCGGAGGCGCGTCTGTGCGCCCCTTGCCCCCCTCGCCCCCCCCGTCTGCGGTGGTGTGGAAGGCGCTTCCCCCGAGGCGGGAAGAAACAGTTTGAGTTCGTCTCCAGCGATGCCATTTTAGCTGGAGAAGTAAACGAAGTGCCCGAGGGGGAAGTTTTAGTGGCGAAGAGACCCAAGACCAAGGCCACGAGCTCGGACGCAAGTTTAGTGAAGGGCGCGGCGTCTGCAGAGGAAGAGTTTCCCCCGAGATATTTCCGCTTATTCTGCCTCTGATCGGGCGCGGCGATCTCAGTGGTTTTTCGCTTCTGGCTGGAAGGCAGCTGGCAAAGTCCGGGTCCAGGCTGAGCGCTGGGCAGGACCGAGGCGTGTTCGTGGTGGCATCTAGTGGTGGAGGCCACGCGCGGGGCTTCACGTGAGATAAAGAACACAGAGGCAGACTTTTAGAGAAAGGAATGATTAGGGAAAGAATTCAACCACATGGCACCGTTTTTCTTTTTCTTTCTTTTTTTTAATGCTTTATTATTTATATTTTAAAGATTTATTTACTTATTTATACAAGCACTGGGTACAGTCAGAAGCGCGGGAGGGTGAGAGAATTCACCAGAGCCAGAGCGGGGAGCAGAGCAGGCAGCAGGACCGAAGTACACTGCTGAGGGGAGCAGCGGGCGGCAGGAGAGGTCTGCGCGCCATGTGGGACCCTCCTCCCGTGGCCGGGGAGCAGCCGGGGAGCAGCCGGGGAACCGGCGCTGCAGAGGCTGCGGGCAGCTTCGCAACCCAGCGCTCAACCGCTGCGCCACCGGGGAGGCCCCACGTGGTACCGTTTTTCATTCATCAAACTGTCAATATTTCAGAATTTGCTAAAATCCATCATTGGCAAGAGCTGAGCCAGGAACTGACACTCGCATAGTGTTGGTGGGACGGAACATTCTCGGGGGCAGGTAATGAGACTGTATTTACTAAAGCATATGTGTGGGGTGCGCAGGTCGCTTCCCTTCTCAGTTTATTTACATAAAAGAGAAAGAGGTAGGTCACACCGTCCTCTGCTTCCTCTCCTCTATTTCCCCAGAGCTCAGGGCAACCTGTGACAACAAAACCTAGAATAGCACAGGTTATAGAGAGGATGAAGTCTCACCCAGCAATATGGAAGGGAGTGCTGGGCCATCAGCATTCTGTGGACTCTTGCTGATGATCTAGCTCTATCTACTCTGTTGATTTTCTGGAAGAACAACTCAAAGGAGAAATGATGGGTGTGCAGCCTGGGAGCTTAGTTCCTTCCCAGCAGGGAATGAGGGGGGTGGGAGTCTGTCACAGACTGGGAAAGCCCCCTCAATTTGCTTCAGAAGAGAGTCAATAACTTTGAATCCCTCATTACCCAGGTTGTAAAGGAGGATCTAGAACACGCTCTCATTATTGTGGTTTTCAGCCCACTGGCCTGACATATGTTAGCCGGAAACCAAAAGAATTGCCCAAGCACCATGCGATTCAGAGTGAGTGTAAACTAGATTCTGATGGGCTTTTGCTCACCTTACATCTGGAAACATTAACATTCCAGCAACTGTCATTTGGAAAGGATTTGGGAGAACCTGGTCACTCAAGTGTGTGTGTATTAAGTGGAGTTCATGTGTCCAGAGTTGCTCCAGAAACCGATCTAGAAATGACAATGGTCAGAGAGAGAGTTTGAAAGAAATGTGGATCCGATCATTGAAAGCACCTCGGAGATGTTGAAACTAAGGAAGACATTTGAATTAAGAGGCTGTAATTTATGTGTTAGGGCTACAGAGAAATTAGACGGTCTGCCAGGAGACAGGTCGCCAGCTCTACCATGACCTGCGCAAGTCATTTTACATGTGCTCACTCTCACCTATGTTGCTCAGGTTATCCCTACTGGCTAACTGAGGTTTTCTCCAATAAAGATGCAAGGTGGGGACCTCCCTGGTGGTGCAAGGGGTTGAGTCTCAGTGCTATGAAGCTTTTGGCAGCCACACTGTGTTATGGGTTTGATCCCTGGCCAGAGAGCTGGCCCGCAAGGTGCAGCAGACCTCTCCTGTCTCACCCGCTGCTCCCCTCAGCAGTGTTTCAGTACATCTGCCTGGTCTGCTCCCCATTCTCTATGGTGCTTTCTCTCATGCCTCACCACCTCTGGCCTGCACTCCAGCTCTTGTATGCATGAAAAATAAATCTTCAAAAAAAGAAAAAAAAAAAAAAAAGGATGTGGGCCTCCCTGGTGGTGCAAGGGGTTAAGACACAACCTATGAAGCAATCCGCAGCCACTGCAGCGCGAGTTCAATTCCCTGGCTGGCCAGGGAGCAACCCACATGGCGCAGCAGACCTCTCCTGTCTGGCCCGCTGCTCCCCTCAGCAGTGTATTTCAGTCGATCTGCCTGTTCTGCTCCCCACTCTGTCTCTGGTGAATCCTCTCAGCCCCCCCACCCCCCACATACCTCTGGTCTGTACCCCAGCTCTTGTATGCATAAATTAATCTTAAAAAAAAGATGCAAGGTGAAGGTGTTATCACGCAGGGTGAGGGGTACCCCAGAACCCCAAACCTGCCCACTCTAAATAGGTTCTGCCATGCACTGCATCAAGACAAAACACACTCTAGTGTATAAGGCCTTTTATATTTATTATTTATTCAGGTATCCAAGAACTGAGGTGTAGGTCACAGGTGCGGGGGTGGGGGTGAGAGGATTCACCAGAGACAGAGTGGGGAGCAGAAGCAGAACAGGTGGATCCACTGAAATACACTGCTGAGGGGAGCAGCAGGCGAGACAGGAGCCGTCTGCTGTGCCATGTGGGTAGCTCCCTGGCCAGGGATGAACTCAGGGCCCAGTAGTGATAACATGATAGCAGGCAGGGCGACTTAACCCTTATGCCACCACAGAGACCCCCAAAAGTGAAATTTTAAAACAATTTGGAGTTTCCCATCAGCATCAGCGAGGTCATCTGCATGATAAGAACCCCCTGCCCGCCCTTGAGGGGAGGTGGGTTTACCTATTAGCTTTTCTTTTGCAAAAACCTTGCCCCACCCTCTCTCTGTCTATAATACCCTCCACTATCAGTACCTGGCTGCCTGGCTGCCTGATTCATGAATTGTTTAGTAGTCAATTAGAGGTGTAAATTCACAATTTTTTTAACAGAACTAATGCACAAATAAAATCTATTAGTGTCAAGTGGAAAAATGCAACTAGTTGGCCAGAGAATATAAATTTGTTAGTTTGTCACTAAGTAGATGAAACCTTCCCCCCCCCCCCCCCCAAAGAGTCAATTTAAATGGAGAGCAGAAGAAAAGGCAGAACTGGCCTCCCGGGGACTGTGTTAATTCCTGGCCTGCTGCAACAAATTATAACCAATTTAGTGGCTTAAAGCAACACAAATTTATTTTATAGTTCTGGAGGTCAGAAGTCTGAATGGTTCATTGCGTTTAAATCAAAGTGTCAGCAGAGCCGGGTTGTTCCTTCTGAAAGCTCCAGGGTTGGACCTGCTCTCTTGCCTTTTCCAGATTCTGCAGACAATTGACATTTTTAGCCATTAACTACGGTCGAGACCATATCCAATCACTCTGTTCCCCACTCCCTCTTTCCCTTGTCACATCTGCTCAGACAGTGGGTCTCCTGCCTTCCTCCTATAATAAAAAATAAATGATATCCTCTTGTAATTATATCAGGCCTGCCTGGATCGTCATCTCCCCATCTCAAGATCACACCTACAAAGTCCCTTTTGTTGTATTGTAACAGGGGGGTCCCCAGGAAAGGGGGGAGGTTCCAGGTTTCCTGCCCCACCCAAGGGAGGGTGAAGCTGAGCAGAGAGAGAAGAGGCTGCAGAGGAGACTGAGGAAGGAAGGGAGCAGGATGGAGAGCCAGGAGGAGACCTGGAGGAGGCGCATGGAATGGAGAGACATGTGAAGAAACTGTGCTTGCCTTTTGGTCATGGACGGGGAGACACAGATGTGGGTGAGACCCGTGGGGAGGTGACAGTGGCAGCTTTTATCTTGATTTTGATTTTGCTTTTCCTTCCGGGCTTGTCTGGTAGTTTCTGACCCTTTTCTGTGGGTCCCCACTGGAAGATGCTTTAGACTTGTGGCAGGCTTTGGGGCCTTCCTCTGGGCCGATCCCATTTGGATGGAGTTTTACCGATGAGGGGACAGGTAACTTTGGGTGCTTGATTTAGAAACTAGATTCTTTGCCTTACCTGTATTGTTTCCTAATTGTATTAAAGTTCCTTCCCATTAAAGTCTCATGTTTTGTGTTAATGCGGCGGATGGCAGAA